CAGAGGGAGTGAAATGACCTCTGGCTCTCAAGTGTCACACCCCTCAAATGGCTGGTGGCAGGGAAGTTTCTGGGAGATGTACCATATGTGATAATGCTGTTCCTTCATTCCCCAGGCATTCATTTTGGACATCTCTTGAAAAAAAATTACATTAGTCTCGGTGGCCCTTGGTCTGATGCCCTGCAGTAGGGCTCCTTCAAGCAGATGTCACTGGGAGAATGCCCCCAACAAACAATTTTAGAGACAGCAGAAGGAATAACCAGTGGCCTTTAACCAGCTGCCCTCTGTCACTTTGTGAGGCCTCAGTTTACCACTTCAGATTTGGTCAAATTAGGCACTTGGCCTGCTTTCCCTCCTCAAGGGCAAGAAAAATGACCTGAAAGGTCCTGAAATAATACGACCTTCCATCATTTAAGCATGTTCTTTCCCATTAAGCCATGAAAGCAGCAGAGATGCTGTTCTCAAAAGCTCCTCAAAACAATTATCTCCTTCCCCTGGAATAAACGATGGGAAGCAAGAGGTGAGGCGGAGATATGGCATTTGCAATTCTCCATTTTCCATCTGCAGGAGGAGGAAGTGTTGATTTGCATTGTGCTCCGACACAACCGCTTGACCTCAGTGCAGTTTATGCTAATTAGTTGCAAGAATATGCTTGTTTGCTCCGTGCCTGCCCAGCATATTTCTTGTATCTCAGCCTGATAGATGAAATATTGCTTACAGGACAGCACAGACTGGGTTGGCTGAACCAAGTGCTGGGTGGCCGAGCAATCCAAGCAAACAGAAACACTGTTTGTGATAAAAGAGGACCTGAGAAGTTTCTCATTAATATTGCCTAGATATTTTTATACCAACTCACTCCCTTTCTGCTTACCACGCTGTAACCTCTCAGGCTGACACAGAAAATAGAGAGGATCCATCTCTTTGCCCAAAGCAAGGACAACTCTCCTTTCCTCGCTCATCTAACTTGGCCTAAAAGGAAATCTTTCTCCTGTCTCACTAGCTTAAAAGTATTAAGGTTTTCCTTCTAGTTTTGAGGGCATTTGTGAAGCTATACACATCTTCTATCTCCAGATATGCTCTGAGGGTATTTATTTTAATTAAACATACTCAACCATGAAGAAACTGGATTCCTAATGCTACTACTGCACCAGTGTATCTGTCTGGCCCCAGGATTTGTCTGTGCACTCACTGCCATTGGAACATTTTGTGGTGGGCTCCTTCAAGGAATGAAGCTGGGATTGCATTCTGGCTCACTCACACAAAGATGGTCCCTTTGCCCAGCTGGGACACAGACCTGAAGGGCTCAAGTCGTTGATCAGCTTGTCTCCATTCCCAGCATGGTCTCCTCAAGCTCCATTCTGTGTTGCAGTTGAAGACAGTACCTTGAGACTGCTTTTTGTTGCACTGTACCCAAAATTCAGTTGAGAAAAAGGTACAGGAGCAGGAGCAACATCTGAGTGGCTGAAGCTGCCGTTTCTTTTGCACTATTGGGAGAAAGGGGAATCTTTTCTGTTCTCTACCTGCAGAATCCATACCTTAGCCCTGCCTGCAGTTCCCACCATGCTCCCAGAAAAGCCATCCCTTCGTTGCACAGATATTCTGTAAGGAAAAAGCTCTTATTATTCAGTGCACAGGCTTTCAAATAGGCCCCCGTTACAGCAGAGCATTCCTGAGTCTGCTAAATTTCTACATAAGCATGCAAGACATGCTGAGGAGGAATGGGTTTAGGTTTAAACGTGTATTTAACATTAAATGGAGGCTTAAGAGCTTTGCTGCCGGGAGCAGGGAAAGGATGTTTTGTTTGCAGTGTGCCTTGTCCTGTGTGGGAAGATGTTGCTTGTCTGCTGCTGAGGCTCCAAAGAGCCTGTCTGCCATTTCTTGGGACTGATCTGAAGCAGCAGACACCAGGATCTGGGACCTCGTGGCAGGTTTTTTTTTTAACAGTACAGATCTCTTCTCTCAGAAGTCTGGCACCTGAAACACCAGCAAGGAACCTCCAGCCTTAGCCCAAGGGACTGTTCTTTGTGCACTGCTGTGCACCCAGCATTTCTAACAGAGACAAACATCATCCAGCTCCCCCCTGCACCAGCCAGAGGCAGTTAGTGATGGGGGAACTGGCTTTGCAATGGGTTCAAGCACCCTGTCTGCTCCCCACCCTGGCTGTGTGTCAAAGATAATCACAGCAGGGCACTCTGAAAGGTGGGTGGGACCTGGACAGGCAGAGGGGGAAACCAAGAGGAAATCAAATTGGTGTCAGTAAGCACAGAGAGTTTCTCCCTTGAGGGATTTGCAGGCAGCTAAGAAGGGAAATGGGTGGAAAACAGAAAGAAGGTCTTGTCCTTCAATTTGAGCGTGGAATCAAAGGCCAGCTGAAGTTGGAGCAGTTCTGTCATCGATTTCCATTTTTCTGTCCATGCTTCCCTCCTGTATCGCATATTCTGCACATTCTCCTATTATCTGCTCTAGGGATAACCAAACACCTCAGAGCTGAGACTCCTTTAGAGAGGGTAATGCTGTAGCTTTGAAGGACAGGTACTGAGGCACCTTGAGAAATCAGAAAGATGGGGCTTAATGTCTCATATGATTTGCTGGAGGCAGCAATGCCCCCCTAATCCTCTGTAGGGAAGTTGAGAGCAGCCCCCAAAACCTCCATGTAGAAGATCTCCGTGCCCTTTTCACAGCTTTCCTTACTTGCTCAACCTTTCAAAGACTGGAACAACAGCATACCATTACTGATGGAGATTGGCCACAGGAAATCTTTCTGAATTGTGTCCAAATTGCCCTTGGGAGCAGCATTGCAGCTGCCTGAGGAAGGAGAATATGTTCAAACAGAACTGCCCAGACCAGACTAACTTCCTTCACATCCCTAGGAAGGTTCACAGACCCTCAGAAGAACCACCGTGGCCCGCTGACCTCGGGGAGGCTCTGCCTTGTCCTGCAGCTCCCGCTGGTGAAGGTTCCGTGCCGGAGATCTGTGGGACGTGGTCGCCCTCTAAAGGGAAAAGCTGAGAAAACGTGATTAATTCCCACACAGGCGAAGCTGCAGAGAATTAGAGGAGCGTGGGCATGGGCGAGGAGATGACCATCTCTCTTCGTCCAGAGTCTTTGTTCCGACTCCAGCACATCCTTGGAAACATTATCCGTGCGCGACAGCCACGAGTAATGACAGCCAATCAACCCCACACTTAGCTCAGCCATTCTCCTGAGCTTTTAATTGTTGAGTCCATTAGTTACTTGGTACCTGGCAGAGTTCATCCATTTATAGGCACACACAGACTCTGGGCTGAGCAGCTTTCACCCGAAAATCAAGACGGTGGCAAATCCCTCGGCGCATCCATCTACATCTGAACTCCGCACAAGGGGGGATTTTAGTTGTTTTGTTTTTAAAAGCTTACGTCCCTTGGGGACTTGGAGGGCTAATTCTAGTCATGATGGGTTATATTTGCTTATTTGGGAAGCTAAAAGCAGCCAGGCAGGTTGCCAAGCATGTCTTCACAGAGCAAAGGCCGCTGCAACAAGGGCTGCGTTAATTATTGCTGTTCTCTATTATCATCTGCCTTCCTACCAGGCCAAACACTCGTGCCACAGGCTCCTCTGGGGCAGGAAGGCACGGAATTTCTTGGTGTCCTCGAGCCAGAGCAGGAGACTCACCAAAAGCTGCTTCCCCAGGTCCTGCCCATCCCGCCAGGGCAGCCTGTGAGGCTCTCTGCAGCTATCAGAGGGCACAGAGGGCTGGGGAACACCTCACGGTCAGCTGCTTAATTTGGAAGCAGCTTATTTTTAGCACCACCTTAGTATCTGTTTACAGCCTTCTTGCACCACTTAAAAAAAAAAAAAAGTACCTTTTGCAGCCTGTTGACTTTTTAAGAGAGACTTTAAGATACAACATGGGCCATTCTGGAGAGCAAATGGCTTGTGAGTTGGGTTAAATCTGTGCTCTGGAATAAAAAAAAAAAAAAATAAAATCAGGTTCTAAAATAGGAGCAAGGCTAGGAGGATCCAGGCGCTAAAAATAAACATGAAGTCATGCTGTCTTTTCCTGGGAACTCGACTGCCTTGCCTGGAGAAGGGGCTCCCAGAGCAGGCAGCAGCATGGAACCATCCCTGTGACTGGGGTTGTCACCTGTACTCAGACTTTGCTGCTTTCAGACTCCAGTTTGACTGCTTTCCATTCCCAGTCACTGGAGCTTTTCTCCACAAGGGTGGATAAACCTCTGGGGCAAGAAAGTGATACTGGCAGCTTGCATTTTTCCTCCCTTTGGTTCTGTTCACACTGTGTTATTGTTCATACAGGCTTCATATATGAGGTAAATAGGATCATATATAGTTTCATATGGAAGTTATTATTTCATTTAGAGTTTCATATGTAAGCTAGACAGGATCCTGTGGTTTTCGTGACAGGTTTTCACAGAGAAGGACAATCACAGCACATCCTGGAAGCGTCGCTTATTCAAAGCACGGCACATACATTTACTAACTAATCTCTGACTAATCCCCGATCTCCAGCTAATTAGCCCCTTCCTCCACGAGCTAATGCTTGTCCAGCCTTTTGAAGCATTTAGCGCTCTAAGCACAATCACGCACACCTCCTTAGCGCGCTGGGGACGCGAAGAATTAATAAATAATTAATAGATGCCGTTAACGAGCGGGATGGGGGGGCACAATGCATCCCTGCGGGGCGGGACTACATTTCCCATCAGCCCCCGCGCACCTGAGCGGGCCAGGACTACACCTCCCATGAGCCCCCGCGCGCGGCTCCCCCTCCCCGCGGTGCATGGTGACGGCATGGCGGCGCAGCCGTGTGCGGTGAGTGGGACCGGTCGGCATCCGCCGCCATCCGCGGGCACGGCGGCCCCGGGGGGCGCCGGGGAGGAGGGAGGGCGTGCGGGGGACTCGCGTGCGCCGCCGGGACCGCTTGTAGGGCTGGGGCGAGGGCTCGATGGCTGCGTGTGGGGCGCGTAATGGTGCTCCCCCCCCCCATCATGGCGTGGTGCATGGAGGGAGCAAGGCCGGGCGCGATGCGGGATCGTCAGCTCGATTTGCGATCGAGCGGGGTTTGACTCCGCTTGTGCCGGCTCTTCCCACAGCGCCTGTGGGAGAGGATTTTATGGCCAGCGGGTGTAGCTCAGCCTGAGCGCTGGCGCCGGGGCTGTCCCCGGAGCAGGGTCGGGGCAGCCCCGGCTGAGGAGCCACGAGGGCAGGAACGGGCCCGAGGTTTGGCTGCTCTGGGAGCTGAGCTGGTGATGATAAAAGTTATCCCTGTCTGAAACTGATCTTTCCTCTGTGGAAGTATCACTCTGAGGCTCGGCGTTAAAGACGCAGAAGTAAAGGAATGCTTTGCTACGTGAACTCACTCTGTCCTTTTCCTCCGTTTCAGAGCCTGGCACGGTGTTGGGAAAGGATAAAAACACTCAGCTGCCTGGGGACCTGATTTATCTACTGGACTGGCAGCACAGCTGCACAGTGGTAAGAAACATCAGCATTTCTCTTGCCATAGTCGTAATTTTCTTCTCCTTTTGCTGGACTACGGAAATAAGACTCATTTTTCAGTGTCAGGTGATATCCTTCTTATGTCTCTGGGGCTCCTGGGAGGGGATATAAAAGCCCAGTGGCTTGATTAATGTAATTACGCCAGTCAAGGCTGTAGCTTTGTTGTAGCTGCCACCCGAGTGTGCTGCCCTTTGCTGCCAGAGAGCATGGGCTGAAAGGCACCACGGAATGAATGGGAATTTTACTGGTGTTGGTGCCCAGCAGAGCACCTGCTTGTCAGCGTGGTCAAAGATGAGCCAGAGCAGAAGGGATTAGAGGTAGGAGGGATTGGATGTCAGCCCATTATGGAGACACTTGACACAGCTCATCTCATAACTGCGTCTGTCACAGAAATAGACCTAGTGAAAGAATAATTGCTCTGTTTGCCTACCTGGAGGTGCCCTGGGACAGTTTGAGACTTGCATCAGGTTGCTGGGGTTGGGGAGGTGCAATTCATGTGCCCCAAAGGGTCATCACAGAAAGGACACAACCTGAAGAATCCTTCCCCTGAGGGGATGTGTCTGTCTTGGGTGTGATGAATGCATCTCTCAAGGTAAAGCCACAGACAAATTACACGCTGGATGGATGGATTATTCTTGTGTGCAAGGAGGGAGTTGGATTAAGATATTTGTGGAGGAGGATGTCGACTTGAAACAGCTTAAAAGAGTCCAAACTACCAACGTCTGAGAGCTGGTGGTTTTCTTTTCCTAAGCAGGGATTTAAATAGCATCCACCTCCCAAACTTTCTAGTCTGTGAGTGAGACAGCCCACTGGCAAACATGCTCCTCTGAGGGACAGGTTCCTGCTTTGCTGAGTTTGTGAGACAAAAATTGCCTGTCTTTCAGTGGAGAATTTCTGTCTTTAATTCTCACTCTGTGACCCAGGGCTGGTTTTTTATGGTTTGTTTTTTTTTTTTGGAAGGGATGGAAAGGAAATGAGTGGAGGACAAACTTTATTTAAAGTATTTTTGTTGACAGTTCTCCTTGTAACTTGTGTTCAGGAGGAAATGGTCCTGCAGAGTCCTGGGGCTGCTGTTGCCCAAACACAGCTTTGGCAAGAGGGCAGCTGCTAAGCTGGGCTTAAGCTGGTAAGAGAATTCTTGAGTTCTTCAGTATTGCGTGTTGCTTGTTTTAAATTCATTAATTATATGCCAGATCCGAAGGCAGCATGACTCATGTGCTGATCAGGATGCCTGATCTTTGGAGGCTTTACCAGGAACAATACCAGGAAGAGCACTGGCCATCAGCACGGTGCCAGCTGGGTGTCTGCGCTGTGCGTGGCCCCGTGGGACTTGAGGGGTTCGTGTAGCCAAGGGCAGGAGAGGAACTGAGCCTGTGATGTGCTGTTATCCCTGTCTGACACAGCTGTGAGGAAGAAAACTCCACTGAGGCTCACGTGCTTCCCTCGGTGGGGTCTCCTTGCAAAGACTCCACGGACACGAGTGGCACCCGTGGGGCACTGTCCCCTGTCCTCCCAGCCTGTGACAAGTGGCACAAGTGCTGCCCCAGACCCAGCTCCCTGCAGGCCAGACAACGGCTCTGGAGCTGAGCATGTTGTCATAGCACAGTTTAGAGCTGCAAAGAGCTTTTAAGTTCCCTTTAAGCAAACAGTGACACGCTGAAGGGCAGATAAGAAATGCATTTTTTATCTTTGCTTGATGTACAGTCATTGAATACACAGGCTGTAACAGCACTTTGTCTCCAGGCAGCTGACAGCTGCATTCTGCCAAATGATTTTACGCTTTATTTAACAGAATTCCTTTGTTTGCAGAAGGTCAATAACAATTTCTGACAGGCTGAGCCGGCAAAATTGATGACAGGGAACGTCTTAAGAAATCAAGGTTGATGTGTGAAAGGGGAGGGAAGGAATGGCACACACAAACCACCAGTCACATTGGGTGCTCTGGCAATACAGCTTTGTTCCAAGGAGGATCAGTCACTGGGACAAGCACGTGGGGCTTTTGGTTTCCAAGGAGTAAGGGGAGAAAAGGTGAAGAGGCAGCCAGATGATAAATGGGAAAAGTAAAAGCTACTCAGTGCTTTGAGATTAGAGGGGCAGGAATTGTTTCAGAGCAGACTTCTTCAGGGAAACAGTCACAGCCTTGCTTTGTGGTGTCTTCCAGCTCTAGAAGCAACAGAAGAAAGGTTGTCCTGGACTGAGTGTCACAGATGGCCACTGATAAGTCACTTGTGTAACCACAGGCTCCTCCTCACTGCTCAGGGGTTGCTGCAACCACACCATAGGTAAGTTACCACTAAAGCCAAAGAGGATTTGGGTACTGGTGCCATTGGCTTGTGTGGGAGCAAGCTGTTCTCTCCTGAGGGGTGTACTCTAGATTAAACAGTGCAAATCAGGATCTGCACAGCTGACAGTTGCTTTGCTCTGACACTCTTTTTTTTTTTTTCCCCACTAGGAGATCTGATCTACAGGTGGCTGGATGAAAAAGTGGTTCCCTGGTTTCTTCTGTTCCAGAATAAAATAAATTATGGGAAATCTTGTGAGTTGAAGTTGGTTTTTGTTTAATTATTTTTGTAAAGGTTGGACTCAGTGCTCCTAGAGGTCTTTTCCAACCTTAGCTATTCTGTGATCCTACTTGGACAGAAATGGTTTTGTGCAGGTAAAAAGGATTTTAGATTAAAACACCTCCTGAAATTTAAGTGGTTTTGAGCTTACCCTTCATAGCAAACCTGATACCCCAAGTTTGCACACACTGAAAGTTGAAGAAATGCAATTCCTGGGGTGAGTGTGACAAAACTACTTACAGGTGAGCTGGGTCTGGTGACAGAAACGGTTCTTGCAGTCTGCTCTTGATGGTAAGTCCTTAAAACCCCAGTGCTAGGCTGGGAAACCTCCCTTTTTTGAGAAGGGACAGGAAGGTGCATGGTGTGGTCCTGATGTGCACAAACAGCTCTGCCCATGAGCTGGATGATTCCAGGCAGGATGCTGCCCTGGGGCAGCACTTGCCCTCTAAACCCTGCTCTTCCTGCCCCGTGTCTCATGGTGCTGCTGATGTCACCTGAGGGTTGGACAGAGCTGGTTTGAGGAGGTTTTGGAGCGTCTTGGGCAGGTGAGGTGAGGATCAGGCTCATTCTTGTCACGAGAGAGGTTTTTTGCTGAGCACTTGCGAACACAAAACAGGCCTAACAGGCTGCCGTGGTACCAGTGTGAGGTGGCTCTGATGGGAACAAAGGTTAATTTGAGACGTGGGAACACGAGGTGGGCCCCAAGCTAGAGATTACATCTGCAGCAGGCTTGGAGCCTAACCTTCTGTAGGTGAACCGACTGGAAGCAGTCTGCTGGGAGCTTGAGGGGGTTTGGAGGGGTTTGGCTCGTGGCCAGGGTATCTTTTGCCATCTCTACAGCAACCTCGTACAGCAAATAGCACTCCCAAGTGGAAAAGGGCCATGATCTGAGCTACCAGTCCTCCCTGCCAGCCCAGGTCTCCATGATACAAACCTGCTCCCATCCCCATCTCCTGCCTCTCGGGCTGTTCCCCAGTTGAGGGTTCACTCTACCACCTGCTACCACTCCTCTTGAGGCAGGAGGTTGGGAGGGGGGTCTCATCCCCACCCACTTCATCAAAACAACAGAAACAGGCATTAAAAAACACAATAATTCAACATTTATGTAATTACACAAAGTGGGGAAGTGTCTTGGGTTACACTGCTCTGTATCCACCCTCCAGCTGGAGGAGTGTCCCCAGTGGGTCTCCCTGAGCAGAGCTGGTTCAGGACCTTCACCTCCTTGAGGGTTTTGGGGAGGAAATTAAGAAGAGTGATGATCGCTTGTGACTCACCTGCTGCCTCTCAAGGCACTCAGAGGGCACCACAACCCTGGGTCCCTGTGCAAGAAAGACCCAAAAACCTCAGTGCCACACGTGTGGCTTCAGTCCAACATCACCTCCGGGCTGCCCAGGGGTTGGACACGTTCCTGGTGTCCCAGCTGAGCTGCCCTGACCCTGCTCTTAGCTGATGGCTTTTAAAACCCTTCCTTGTCTGAAAACACCAGACCCAGAGAAGGGGTCAGTGACAGGGCACACTGTGTGTGTCACAGGACAGGGCAGCCACACCTCTGTCTGTGCTGATGATCACGGAGACAAACAGATGCTTCTGGAAGGCGGCACACACCAACACAGAGCTGGCTGGAGCTGCTTTCTGCTGTCTAGGAGAGGTGTTCTCCAAACACATCACCTTCTCATCAGCTGGGTGATCTGGTCTCTAGTCCAAGGATTCACCCTGCTTGCTGTCCCACCATGGTGACGATCATTTGAGCTGGAGCATGATGGTAAGGTGTTTTCCAGCAACTCCAGCATCCTCTTCCAGCACCATCCTGCCCCTCCTGTGCTCCACAGGGGCCACTGCTGCCCCACAGCCACGTTCATGGGGCTGGCAGGTCACAGCCATGTGCTGTGGTGCTTCTTGATGCCCCAAAGGCCACGTTCAATCACATTTCTGGAGATCCCTGAGGAAATGCAACATTTCTCTACCAGCTTCAGCTTCCCCCTGACCCTCACATCACTGCCAGCTGCAGTGTGGCAGGTCTGCTCCATGGGCTGGCTGGCCAGCTGGGGAGAGCCCTCAGGAGAGAGAAGGTGGCCCTCGGGAAAGAGAAGAGCCACAGGAGTCCTCGGACTTGCCCCTGTGGGCAACCTCCCGGCCTCACCGCTGGTAGAGGGTGATGATCCCGGCCCTGTGCAGGCTCCTCCACAGCGCTGCCTCCAGCATCATGTCATGGTTGGCATAAAACACCAGAGGTTTCTTCTCCACCTCGTAGTAATGGTCTGAGAACTGCTCGTAGTTGGCAGTGATGAACCCATAGGCACTGACCTGTAGGGAGGGACAGACAAAGGATGGGGTCAGGGCTCTACTTGAGGTGGTCCGTTTACCACCCCTTTTCCAGGGGGCATGTAGGACAGCCACCAGGACAGGCTGGTCCCCACCAGGAGCCCCACAGCAGCCACAGGGAGGGGAATCCCCTTGTCTCCAGCAGGAAGGTGATGCCGTGGCCTCTCACCTGGTCGCAGGTGTGGAGCGCGGTGAGGAGCATGAGGGCACCGGTGCTGGGCATGTAGAGGGAGCTGTACTGGGTGTTCAGGATCTCTGATCGCAGGAACCTGGCAGTGGACACGGCAGGGGTGGGGGGTCACAGCTGGCACAGCACTGCAGCCCCCAGACCCACACCCATCCAGCCCCCACCACGCACTGGGTGATGCCAGGACCCGGTAAGGCAGGAGCACCAAGTGAAACACAGGACTGGGGTGGATTCTCTGGTCGCCGCTGCTAAGGCTGAGCTCAGTTGCTGCAGGTTGGTAAAAGGCACCTCTCTGCTGTTTGGAATCACCCCAACCCAGACCCCTGCTTCTGTGAGAGGCAGGAAAAGACACTCCCATTGGGCCCTACCTCTGCTCCTGTTAAACTGGGACAAAATGTAATTTATTTTGGGGAATGGGAGCCAGGTGAGCACAGAGAGGTGTAGGAGGGGATGTGAGCTGTGCTGCAGTGAGCAGGAGCAACAGGGGAGAGGTGTCTCAGCCTTGTCTGCAAACAGCAGGGCAGAAGTATTTCCATTGTCTGGGAAGGACTGGGAATACACTTTGATGCTGAGCAGCCACTGGTCCATACTGGAGAGAGCAGAGGCAGGCAGTCTGAGCCCAGCCTGGAGCACAGCTGAACAGCAGCCACCGTCCTCATCATCCTCACCTTGTTGTCAGGTACTGCAAGAAATCAGGATGCAGCAACTTGAATTTCTCTGCAGATGCCTCTGGTCCAAAATACTTCTGTGGCCTGCAGCAGGGCAAGGAGAAGGGCAAAACTGTATCACAGGAGTCCTGGAGCTACTTGGGGTTTGTCCCAGCAAACGGATGTCGGGGTGAGGGCAGGCAAGTCATGCCTGCATCACTGAGGGTGCTGGGGGGGGGGCTCTTGGGGGGCTACTCACTCATCCCCCTTGTCCGAGCCCTCGGGCACTGGGCTGCCCTGGATGGCCGATCTCAGCATGACGTAGTCCCGGACATCCGAGGGGATGAAGATGTACTTCAGGTCCTGCAGCGGGGGCACAGATGTGGCACTTGGAGGGGCTTTATAGGGCACAGCCCATGCAGGCTGGCAAGGACTGAGGGCTCCCGAGATGGGGACAAGGTTTGGGGGGCAAGCTCAGCCTCAAGGGACGATTCAGGACCACGTGGCCAACAAGCCCTCCGGGTCTCACCTTGGCCTGGGGGATGCGAGTGAAGCCGTACTCCTCGTAGGCGATGAGGGAGTTCTTCATGGTGTTCACCGTGAAGCCGTAGAAGGAGACCTTGGTGCCCACGTCCTCCTCGAAGCCCTTGATCACGGCACCGTTGATCCTGCGGGAAAAGCACAGGACACTCGTCCAGGGCTGAGCCCTCCCCAGCACCCACAGCCCCGCCCTGCCCGGGACCCGCGCGCACCTGAAGACCAGGTCGTGTGCGTCGATGGCCTTGCCCTGCCCCGAGCCGTTGAGGATTCCGCCGTTTCCCACCACGGCACAGCGGACACAGCCCCCGGGGAAGGCGGCCCTGTCGAAGAGGTGCCTGTTGGCAGAGGCGTTGAGGAGCCGGAGGGTGCTGCCCACCACTGGAACGGAGCAGGACGGGACCGGTCAGTGAGCAAAAGGTGTGTCAGCCCACGTGAGCACGTGTGCAGCACACAAAACTCACACCATCCCTGTGCAGGAGAAGGGATTTGGGGACCCCAGACAGTCCTTGCTCTCTCAGGCTTTGTGCCATCTACTCTCAGTCCCCCTCCCCACGCTTCCAACCCTGCTCCAAACAGCAGCACTCGAGGCCGTGCGAGGCGCAGGGTCACATCCAGACATCTCCAGCTCCAGCCCTGCTGACGCTGCTGCCTGTGCTGGCCATGTCCCCCCTCACAGTATCTCTTTGCAACAGCCACCAGTTCACTTCCCCCTGCCGTCCCCAGTGCTTCCCAGCCCAGGGATTGAAGCTGGCAGCTGACAGGGAGAGCAGAGAGTGGGTTTGGGGTGGGAAGGGAAACAATCTCCATCCACCACAATGGAGAGGGTTGTCCAAGCTCCTCCGGCCCCACTTAATAATCATGCACACACTGGAGCTTTTATTCAGGGGAAATGTCACAAGATGCAGCAAGAGGCATTTGCAAAGCCGTGCCCTCCACTCCGTGCCCCAGGAGGTGGAGTGGGGAAAGATCAAGGTCCTTGGTTCCTCTGCAGCCTTCTCTGCCTGTCTCATGTTATCAGTCTCTTCTGCTGGGCCCCTGAGCCCCTCGAGCTGCCCCACACGCCCAAATCACCCCCCATCCCAGCTGAGTCTGTACCTGCAAGGGACAAGCCGTGCCAGCCGTAGGGGACGTGTCGTGTCTTCAGCCTGTTCCAGGTCTCCAGGGTGAAGTGCTGGTCCCACATCAGCACAGGGGTGTCGAAGCGGAAGATCTCCCCAAACTTGGGGTCTGCCTTGGCTCTGGCCATCACTGAGTGCAGGCAGGTGCTGGGCTGGGAGGGAGAAGGACCC